ACACAGTGATCCAAACTAATCCAAAGTGTCGCTGTTAAAGTGAAATGAGTCACTGGAGCCGAGCAGGAAACAAAAACTGAGACAAGTATCAACCAGTTACTGCAAAACAGACACTCTGGTTGGACCAGTTTCTAACGTTCATTGCTGCACATTCCTTTATGTTTATCAGATAAACACTGGGCATTACTAACACAGGGATGGCTTACCTTGGTTGCATACGGCATCAGATCAGTTCAGATCATGTGTAAACCAAAGAGGAGCTCAAATGGTTTTGTCATGGTGCTGGGTCGTTGACCCAGCGTTTTGTGTTTGGCATTGTGTTTATTATTATTAGCTGATCTGATGTTTAATTTCTTCATGGTTATCTTTATAAGTATGTAGGTTTTATTGTCAGGGTTTCCAGTTCTAGGTTTATTTCCTGTGTCGTTACCCTGGTGCTTTGTCTGTCTCCCTGAGTTTGTGTTTGTGAATTTCCTGTTTTACTTTGAAGGTCTGTGTCTGCGAGCGGGTCTATCCCATGCTTTGCTGCGACACTGAGCTGGGCAGACATCTCGGAAATCATCGACGCACTTTTCTAAAGAGGCTCTATCTTGACAAACCGACCAGATATCTGAAGATTAAACCACTACATTCTCGGTTAAAAAATATTAAAACTATATTTGGTGACACACAAACAGGGTTTTTCAAAGTACAGTTCAGTTAGTTTCCACACTTGTTTGTGTGCAGAAATGCCTTCTAAAAACAATGGCCACCAGGCCAAAGCAATGGTTTTGACTCAATCAGTGTTAACCCCGCCCCCTGAGTTTGATGGGTGAGGTTGACAGATAAAATTATTTCATGGTGAGACCTGAAGGAGTCAAGTGTGCCAAAATTAATTAATTAAATGTTCCAATAATTAATTAAATGTGTCAAAAATATTACTTTAATTAACATATTTAATTAATTAATTAATTCATCATTGTCAGTCCTGGCGTTCCATATGCTGCAGCTGTATGTATGAACATGTGTTTCTGTGCTCACAGTCCACCTCTCAGGAACCTGCAGTTCACTTTTAGTCTACTTTAAACAGACCTCACAAAAGGCTGATGTGGCAGGTTCAGTAGTCCGATTTAAGTATGATACCTTTGTACAGGGATTAATCTGGTACGTCGCTTCGCTGCACTCTTATGTATTTTCCCCACACCTGAATAAAACATACTGATAT